AAGTGACTCATATTCGAGAGTATTGGATAATCTGCGGCTTGTTGCCCATAATTCTGACGGAATTTATGATATATTACAAATAAATTGGTAAAATCCATGCTTCACTCTTAATAATATATTTGCTTCCTTTCGCTGCATTGATTGTGATTACTCTCTCACCTTTAATGCTGGCAGCGTTAATTTCTGAACTCATCCCATAGCACTTCGCAATTATTGCTATTTTGAGCACAAGAACTGCCTATTCGAGCAAATTCTTTAAGAAACACATTTCAGTTATGAACGAAACGTCGCAACCCCATTTCGAGGTAAAATTAATAGTGATGGAGTGCTTTCATATGCTATATCGATTCTGAATTATAGGTGATGTCCACCATACGACAACAAATTGCTGATGACGTAAAGAACGCTAAACTATACGCACAATCAGTCGTAATCTGGAGACCGTCATCTTCATCTATATGATTCAATTAGCAGTGATTTAGGTTCAATTCAGTAACATTAGTCAATTACTCACCTTTGTTTGCGTACCAGTGTTATCAGAATATTATATTAATGAGATTTATGTACGCGATGCTCTTTAACTGTATCGGAAGCTCGTAGGTCGTTGAGAGGAACAAACTGAGACCGCAGCGAGGCAGCGTTAAAGAGAACTTAGAGCTCATCGCTTTGATTCGTCCATTTGTGGTGGTTTTAGCCGAGTAAGCGCCTTCGTAATTTCCGTTCCGTTGTCGTTCTTGATTAAAATGAAATGGCCGCCTTGAAATTGGACAAGATCTTTAGGACAACTTCCGCATCCCATGCCTTCCTCCCACCCGTCCCCAGTCTCTGGCAATGGCGAAGGAGATACTCGGAAGCGATTATAGGGCTTACCGGCCTGTATCTTGGAGTTTACATTGAAGATCTGATGAGACGCAGTCCTCTAGAGCCTGCAAATCTTGGAATGAGAAGCCGCGCTACATGACAGCGGGTAAGTTGATAGTCATCTCATTATATTGGCGAGACGCAACCGATCCCTTGGCATGATAGCCGGCCTTACAATATGCCTCTATTCTCGGCTGGATACAGTTAATTTCCTCGTTGTTAATCATTCACCTTTCCAAACCAACAACCACACACTTCCCGAATCTTTATTGCATTTATGGCTCACTGTTTCACTTTCCAATATTTTGACTCGTGCGGTAATAGTTTAATAATACAAGAGAAGTGGAGCCTATAACATTATAATATATGATCAGGGGCCATACTTGCAAAACTCGCTAAGTGAACGTAAGTACTTACGACCTATTTTCTTGTCTATGATTGGTGGATTTTGCTCGATAGGCCGTCAATGATTGGCTGATGAACTTACGATCTCTTAACTTTTTTTTGAAACTATAGGCCCAGAACTCCGGTTGCCTGCAGCGTCTATTCCTGCAGCAGCTGCAGGCTTCGCTAAAGTCTAAGCTGGACGTTCATTGCCATGGCGATGAGCTGGTGCTTTATAAATAGATTATTTATTTTTCCGTGATGGAACGACCAAAACAGATTTCCCGACTCATGTAACTGATGCGATATAATCTATGAATTAAATATATAGCAGTTGAATTTGGAAAATGATGATGAGGCACTGATCCTTATAAAAATATTCTAAATTTAAACTGTGTTGTCTTTTTAGTTATAAAAGATTGCACGAGACTTTAAAAAAAAAAAAGAGTTTTAGTTATGAAAGACTATTTAGTTTTGTAAGTTTTTTTGCGTTTAATCGAGTAAAACTGGATATACTTCCATAATATGAAACGAAGTTCTATTGTTTTTATGAGGCATAGCTATGTTATATTAATGAGGATTTTAATATAGCGTTTGTTCATGTCAAAAATTATTTGATTCCACATTAATGCAGTTATTTCGGTCGCTGGGGAGACCAGCAATGATTATTGAACCAATTTAACATCAAGACCTTTATTTTATCTGATAATGCTCAGAACTTTTTTGCAAGGTTTCGATTCATAAATTACATTTTAATTATATTTTTGATCGACTTATGGTGGATTGTTCTTTATTTCCTGTCAGATGGCAAATTTTGCATGCGATTAATAAGAAAATATGACGCTTGGATATTTTGGAATATTGAAATATTGTATGTTGAAAGTTTCTGAGGAAATAAGTAATTTTTTCAATTTTAACAGTTAGAGAATAATTATTTAGTCCTCATGGCTAAACTTCCGCCATGAAATTTACAAATTTTTTCATCGCTTATTTTCTAAGTTTTGTGATTGCAAAAGTAGATGCAGTAGATATAGCAGTACAGTAGATACTGTGGTAGAAAAGTATATAGTGATTTAATCAACAAAGTAACGCAATCTAATATGTATTAGTATATTCATCATCACTAAAATTTGTCATTAAATATTATATATCTGCCCTCTTTAGGCTTCGTCTTCCATTTCGTTAAATGAGATCTGCAAACCTCAAATGGCCTTACGGTCTCATTGCGAATCTAAGAATTTTATATCTAAGTCACTGTGTGAGAACTTTGAGTCAGTGCGTTCTGTTTGAGTCTATTCATTTTAGCAACATGTCGTCCAGTAGGATCTTTGTAGTCTCATTTCCTTTGATCTCATTATGTCAATTTAAAATTTTCTGAACCAATGTCGTGGCTTTTGAAGCCGACTCTCTGTTCCTGTTCACCGAATAAATCTGTAGGTAATTTTTGAGTCGCATTTCGCCTAATATATCGATCCCGACCAAGAGAATTTCGAGAGCCCGGTGTGTCGCCGGAAAAGTTGCACGCGTTTTTTGACTCCTCAAAGACCCGAACAATTTAGAGTTTAGTATGGCTCATGCAGCGGCAGGCTCGCGAGCGTTCAAGGGAACAGACTTCATCTTTTCGGTCGGTAAGTCGCGATTGCTCTCGTTTATATCCTGAGCCACTAGAATCACGAAGCAGTCCCTTTCATCTCCGTTATAACACCGAACTTTCCCATCCTACCTTTTAGCGAAGCCAATATTTTTGCTATAGGCACCAAGCGGTTTAAGCTTCTCTTGAACTCCTCGGGGAAGACCATCCAACGGTTAAGCCGACTTACAGCGTTTCTGCTCAGTTTTCTGTGCGGTTTTACGTTAGATATGCCTATATTATTTATACATGTAATGTATATACATAATGTTCTTCTTAACGCACAAATTGTTCTTCGTGGCGCGTGAAATGTTCTTCATAAAGCACGAAATGTTCTTTCGTGCGGTGCCATCTTCGTTGCTACGACTGCATTTCTTTCGATACGTGGTTTCATCGATGTCATATCTATTAATCGTGCTTCAGCTTTTCTGTTTATGTTTTTATCTATGAATAGTCCATATTGTTGTAATTCGTAGTGCGGATCCTCAATTTCCTGATAAATCAATGCTTTTAGCGCATTTTCTTATTTATGGAAAAAATGCACTATTGTGCTCGCCATGTCCGTCTGTTCCTCCGTCTGTCTGTCCGTGACTTCACGTTTTCGTCGATGAGAAAATGCGCTCTCTGTCACTCACGGCAGTGAGTACTGAGTTATATTTTTTTTATTTTCATTAACAATTTTTTTAACATCTGCTATTGGCCAACTTCTTTCAGCCGCCGTCTCTTCTTCCACCAGCCACCGCCTAATGTAATCTAGTCCAGTAAACGAACCTACGATGTTTGATCTTTGGCAAGCTACTGTGAGGTCGAGATCGAAGCGCCGTCTTGGCGTTGCTCAGTCGGAATGCTTGGAATGTTTCTTGTGCGCCCCAAAGGATATACAATTGCCTAGTCCATGGGGACACAGACCTTCTTGGAGGATAACATAATATAAATTAATATCCAACGGCGAAGTCTTAACTTTGCTAGTAACTCGCTGAAGTCAACTCTTAGTGTGACACGGACGCCTTGCCATTTCACAGCCGATGTAATCCCGTAACGATGTACATGATGCTCAGGCAGATGGATAGTAGGTCGCTAATCAATCATCCTGCGAGAAATATCAAGAAGTATGTATCTCCTTGAGAACATTTTTTCGTTATTTGTGGACACTTCTATTTCTTTTCCAAGGCCTATTTTAAGCGGCAAAAATGTGCTTCATTTACGAAACCCAAGCTCTCAGTTCCTTAGTGAATTTTATTCTCTTATCAGTGAGCAATGCCATGTCTCAATGAGCCCAATGCATTCTCAGGGAACATCACGTTCTCTCGCTGAGCCAGCAAGACACTCAGTGAACTATTTACCTTCTTACTGATTCTTTAGGTCTCTCAGTGAACTATTTACCTTCTTACTGATTCTTTAGGTCTCTCAGTGAACTATTTGCCTTCTTACTGATTCTTTAGGTCTCTCGGTGAACTATTTGCCTTCTTACTGATTCTTTAGGTCTCTCAGTGAACTATTTGCCTTCTTACTGACTTTTTAGGTCTCTCAGTGAACTATTTGCCTTCTTACTGACTTTTTATGTCTATCAGTGAACTGTGTGCCCTCCTGCTGATCATTTTTGATGTCTCAGTGGACCGAATGTACTTCTCACTTAACTCAGTGCTACACGAATGAAAGTTCTGTGCAATCTCACGCTTCTATTACCTTTCATTTATATTTTAGTTCTGTAAGTCTTCTTCGAACTACTTGCCCTGCAATATACGCGGTCATAACGTCTATATTGTTTCGATTATCGTTATGTTCATTTATTTCTCGTGGCGTGTGCAGTGTTGATGAGCCGATTTACCCGTTCTATATAAATTCAAAGTTCTTTAATAAATGTTCATTTAATTGTTCCTTTGATTTTGTAATTATTTGTTAATTTCGTTGAGCCCATCGCTTAGCGATTTACACGCTGTATATAAATTCAAAGTTCTTTAATAAATGTATATCACAATTATTCCTTTGATTTTGTAATTATTTGTTTATATCGTTGAGCCCATCGCTTAGCTATTTACCCGCTGTATATAAATTCAAAGTTTTTTATAAATGTATATAACAATTATTCCTTTGATTTTATATTTATTTGTTTGTTTCGTTTCAGGGGGCACAGAAAATCTGCTTAAGCTACTCGCCTAACAAGCCAATGACTGTCAAGCAAATCGTCAGGTGAGTGTAATCCCTTATATACATGATAAAATATAATATATCTAATATAGCCTTATTATCATTAATTTATTTTGATTTTTCCATTATTTTATAAGTAGTAATCATTGGTTCGAAACTATTTCAAGTCCCAGACAAATGTCATTCCCTGCAACAGGAAAACTGAAGCCTTCAAGTGCCGTACGTCCCTTATATACATGATATTATATAATATATCCAATATAGCATTATATTGCTAACCACTGCTGTAACAGTTAAATCATGGAACCGTAGTTATTGCAATCTGGTCAAAAATATAAATTTCAGGAATCATTCATTAAATTCTTGTAAATCAGAATTTTTTTCCGCTGGTGAAAAGTCTGCGAATTATTCCCTTTGTTGTGATGTTCAACCTGGATTAAGCGTAATTGATAATATTGCGATATTAAATCAAGATAACTTGAATTAACTACTCATAGATAACCGTGAGACAATAGGGACCTCGTACAAGCGTAATTCTGAAAGAGGAACGACTATGAAGTGATGCGTTGCGAGAATCATTTTACTTTAAGGTTTTTAAAGATTATTTGTTGCAAGGATGTATAATATAATAATGCTAACAAGGTTATTTGTTGCAAGGATGTATAATATTATAATGCAAACAAGGTTATTTGTTGCAAGGATGTATAATATAATAATGCAAACAAGGTTATTAGTTGCAAGGATGTATAACATAATAATGCTAATAAGGTTATTAGTTGCACGGATGTATAATATAATGATAACAAGGTTATTAGTTGCAAGGATGTATAACATAATAATGCTTATCAGGTTATTAGTTGCACGGATGTATAACATAATGATGCTAATATGGTTACTTCTAGCAAGCACATAATATTGCCCCGTTGGTTGCAGCAACTTCCCTGGTATGGACAGGCTGGAGAAGGGACCGAAGGAAATCTTTGCCCCTGAGCTGCAAAAGGTGAGTCATCCTAGTGTCAAGGTGAGTCATCCTAGTGTCAAGGTGAGTCATCCTAGTGTCTTTAATTTGTGTGCCGTCTTATCTTTCTCTTCTTATCATTAGTGGATACAATTTTTATTATTTCAACGCTATTGGAATTTAGTATTTGACTTTGAATTTAATATCGTATTTTAACTGTTGTTTGTTTTTTTATTTCTTTTCAATCTTTCGAAATGAGTCGAATAGGATGATTCTGCATGGAAGAATTTGATTAAATTCAACATTGATATCGTTTCATCTTTGGCACACATTTTTTCTACATTAAGAAAGGAATATTTTATTCTAATATGAAACCTTTATATAATATTTATAAATAGATAATAATGATAAAAAATTAATTTTGCCAATATTTATTTAAATATTTCTTACTAAATAACAAGAGACGTACAAATAAAATAAAGGCTTCCATTTATTTTTCGTTCAATAAAAAGATTACTTTTACAATTATGCATTCCTTCTGTGTTAGCTACCCAAGGGGTTTTCTTCCATCCCTTCCATCAGAGTCATTCTTCATCTTCTCCTTTAGGGTTGACTGATGCAATTATAATTATCAGTAATCTTAATATGCTCACGATATCACAACACATATAATCTGGGCCGTATTAATAATTTGGCTGTTAAGCACGAAAAATATTCCTGGTTCACTACAGTAGCGTTAATGATCGCTATTCATTCGCTGGCTCGAGCCTCATTCTTTGTCCAAGAGCTTCTCAAATATGAACTTAGGGAAATAACCGTATTAATTTCGTGTCAGCTGCGCTCGAGTTTTGTTATCTTTGTCAAATAAGAACGTAGCCGAATAATTCTACTTCTTTCATTCTTTCATTCCCCGCCATTCTGATTTTATTTCAATCTGAAGCTCACTCAAAAATTGCTTGAACATACAAAGAATGTAATGAATTTCTTGCGTGCAAATTGAGGCGATCTATATGGATATGATATGCAAATAAGCGGCCGTCCTCGTACGTCTCAAAGGCCTCACAAGGTTCTTGTTCGGCGGCCGCGACCCTAGCTTCACGTGTCCTGGGTCTGAACTATCTATCATAAATAATCGAAAGTTTGTAACATCGTCGACCAATCATTGACGTCTGTTCAAGCTAAACCCACCAATCACAGACAAGAAATTGGACGCTACGTGCACTTGGGACGCTACGTGCTCTTGGGACGCTACGTGCTCTTGGGACGCTACGTGCACTTGGGACGCTACATGTATCGATTCAAATTTTGGGAGTATGGCTCAAGATGCGGAGTTCGGCTCATTTATAGCGAGACTCAGTCAAACATGATAGTTGATTGCACAAATAAAAATATTTTTACTTCAATGCGATTGCGACTGAATCCAAAAATTTAATTTAAGCCAGTTATATCAAAATCTTAAATTTTTCAATTCAAACTCTTTTTTCTCGAATCAACGGAAAATTTCAAGCTTAGATTCATTTCTGCAAGTCCAAGCATAATCATGAACTCGTGACGTTGACTTTATTTGAATTGCGAACGTTGATCTTTTTGCAGAGGCCAGATGTGCTTTGGGAGAGCAAACGCATAAAACAGAGCTGAGTAAGCTCACAAAAAATGCATGTTTATTCAGGGGATAATTTATTATTCATGTACCGTTTCCTTCTCGCCAATTCGTACCATTACCTTATGAAAGTTGTGTAAAACTTATTGAAACAACGTTTTTAATTTACTAGAAATTTTTAATTCGTTGCATATTGTAGATAGCATAGGGAATATGTCATCAGATTTATTTACTTATATCTGTTGCCACGTTATAACACCACCTACTCTCTGATGCAGCAGACCAGCCGGCACTCGTAGCGAGATTTACACGTTATGCCTGGGGCGGCTTGGTCGGTTTTCCGGGCCGAGGTTTTCACCTGCGCTGCCGAGATGTCAGCTTATATTTATCTACGGCAATATAGGCGCGAATGTTCGTGTAAGGCTACACTCCATTCAAAGCTGCAAATTGCTTCCTACAATGAATGCAAGCCTGTGCGCGGAGCAACGAACGGCTTTGGAAATATTCCGGCAGCAACGGTTGCTTGCTTACTTCGATGACTCTTGTTGGGCAAACCGAGACTACCAAGTCTAGCTAAGCGACACTATAAAAATTATTGAAGCATTCAAACGACTTCTATTGACATAAACTACCGAGTCCAGATAAGTGACACTATCAAAAATTATTGAAGCATTCAAACGACTTCTATTGCCATAAACTACTGAGTCCAGATAAGTGACACCATCAATAATTATTGAAGCATTTAACCGACCTTCTTGACAAAAACTACAATGTTTTTCGCAGCGATTTCATCGGAAATCGTATAGACGCAAGCGTGTTTTTCGACTTCGGTGCGGATTTTTGAGAATTTTAATACTACTTATGACTAAAATTCTGTTACATAGGCATTTTATTCGCTGGAATTTTCTTTTTTGGTATCTGATTAACTCGGGTAGAATATAGTTTTTCACTCTATCACGAGCAAATTTAAATCCCAACTGAATTACACTTTATACCGTTAACAGCATGCACCTTAGTAATGTTTTGCTCGAGCATAGATGATTGAACTTAATTCCTATACCTACCACGCAGCGAGTTGGCTTATTTGCAGTTATAAGAATTAGTTCAGCGTAGCTTGTATTCCAGTTGTGTCGTTTTATCACCGAATTACTGCACTTTGACAATCGGTTATTTTATGCCGTTTTTACCGAACTAAGCTTTTTTCGAAGAATCTGTTCTGTTTTGATGAATCTGTTCTGTTTCATTTCTGTTTTTTCGATGAACGAAATGTTTGAGTATATAGACTATTTTGATAGGTTAATTTCCCTCTTCTCAACACTACCTCTCGAGGAACAACTTCATCACCATGCTGGGTTAATCTTTTAATTTAATTATGATATCATTTGAATTAAATTTTACATGAATTGGCCAAATTCATATTAGCGAAATTAATATTTATTTTTTTGGAAGGCAAAAACAATCGTTTCTTTGTAGGTACTGTTCTGTTCTCTCGTACGTAGGAGTAGAAGCTCGTTGTGCAACTAATACGAAAAAAAATCTCATAAATATTTGGTATATTCTATATACTCGTATTAAACATATTCATCCATCATTCATACCACTGCGTGTTAAAATTAACCGCTATAACTCTTAATAATGCTACACTGCGGAGCCGATTTTTGAAATCATTCCTGAATTTTGGAGAAATTTTGGTTCTGGGGAGTTTCGACTCAAGTGGCTCCTACGCGTTCATGATTTCATAAAAATACGCGTTCATTCTATTCTTATCAAATATTGATGGGAAGGTTATTTTTTCAAATTTTCTTACGTTTTTTTATTAAAATTTTAAGTAGCAAGCAATCGCGCGATTTTTTTTTTTGGGGGGGGGGATTATACATAAAAGATCAATAATATTGTCAATCCCACTATACCATATACCCTATATCATATATCATATACCATATACCATATATCATTTACCAAATATCATATACCATATACCAAATATCGTATACCATATACCAGCTCAGGAGCTGTGAAGAATTTTTGCAACAAAGCACAATCATACTCAAACCGCAAAGTATAATTGTGTGACTACGCGCGTAAGTTTGCCGTCGCAAAACTGTTTGAGGATTCTCGAATAATGATATCAATTTTATCTAAAATATAAATACTAACTTCGATTATTGTAAAGACTAGCCAATGTTTTTAGCTATTGTTTCTTCTTGTCGGCGTGTAAATGTACTATTTATATCTTCACATCCCTAAACTAGTAGTCTGAGCCGGAGTTTGCCATTGAAGTGTAAGGGAAACTTTGCACCCACTTACAAAGGCAGAGCTATCCTTTTAGCAGCACTTGATTTCTGAGCTGCATTCCTTACGAATGCTTTAGCGATCCTCTCCAGCAAGTCTACCACTTTTCTACTGCTGTCTTGATGTATTGAGATTACAAGAGTTTCCCTTGCTTGTGGATGTCATGCAGTTACCCACTGTATCAAATCCAGTGAATCGTGCTTTAAACTCGCTCTATATATGCGGTTGCTGTAAAAACAATCAATTACAATAAAAACCATTATACATTATTGAAAATCAGTTGGTATTTTTGATTTGAAAGTTTTATCACACAGCAACGTTGGTGTGCATTGTTGGATACTTATTTGGAGTCATTGGATTAATTTTGATTGGTATGATGGTTCCATTGGTCAGTTGTTTCCATTGGTCAGTTGTTTCCCCTGACCATTGGTCAGTTGTTTCCATTGGTCCAGTGTTTCCCTTCATTATCAAGGATGTTGTTCTGTTCTTCGCAGGACCTGTTGCTGCTGGAGGAGCAGGAGGGATCAGTTAACTTCAAATTTGGAGTGCTCTTCATGCACGCCGGTCAAACTTCCGACGACCAAATCCTGAGCAACGGTAAGCGTGCTTAGCGTGAACAACCCTGTTCTTCTTAGCGTGTACAACCCTGTCCGTGCAGTCCACAATAGAATCGAATTCAGCCCTATATCCCGCAATATTTATCATAAATTGATTAGGGACACGATAGCCCTTTTTCGTGTTAAACACGTTTTTCTACCAAGGAAACCCCGTTAGTCAACTTTCCGCGCATGCTAGCCTTTATAATCCTTGTACTCGCATATACATTTCCGATCAAATCTGTAATTCTGTAAAAATTCAAATGTCGCTAATATATAATATAATTATATAATATATAGTTTATAATATATAAACTATAAGGCTACGTTAAACCTGCCTTGTGTACATTACTATTTCCTCGGAATTTATTAACATGTGAAAACATAACCTATGTTGTTGTATTTTAGTTGTATTCTGCCAGTTTAGAAAACGTTTTTCATTTAGAAACTAGTAAGTACGTCGTTTAAATCCATGAAAATGTCCTGTGAAAATAAAGTCACCATCTTTCCTCTTCTAAAGCTGCCACAATAGTTAATATCTGATAGGTAGTGTTCCTATACTAATATATAATGCATTTAATATTCATGCCTTAGCTTACCTGCTTAATGCATCATGAAACGAAATGCGCTCTATGCTAAAAAAATTGTTTTTGCGTTGTACATTGTTCGGAAAAAATTGTAAATTTTCACGAAGCGTCGCTCAATTTAATTTTTTTCAACTATGATTATTGAAGCCATTTTAGAAAGTGGGATTTTTACGGGATTTTTACGTTGATGCATAGGAAATGTATTTTTCTTTTGATGTAATTTTCCCTCGGCAATATAGCAAAAAACGCACAAAGCGTCGTGAATTTTTCACGTTTAAGTTAGTCTACAAAATAAACTTCCATTTTCCTCGCAAAGTGAGCATGTATTTTTATATTAGAAATCTATGGATCTTTGTAAAAGTTCATGTTAAAAACATAATGAAGCTTCTCATTCTTTGTAAGATTTTTAATGTAAATTCAATATTTCTGCGAATTCAAAGTTATGTTCTGAATTCTTGATAATCGTAATTTTTATTCAAAATTTCAGTAATTAAAATTGATTTTAGTTGCTAATAATTTCCTATAATAAAGGCATTTTCCGCAACGAAATTAACGTCATTCACTGTAAGAGTAACTTCATTAAAATTTCGGTTGGTACAAATTCTTTTTCATTAATTAATCTGAAGATTTGACTTTGAATGTTGAAGCTTGACATAACCTGTGCACATATTTTACGAGATGGCAAGCTTCTCTACAGATTACCAGGTATCATAAATTAAAAGAAAACAGTCTGTTTAATAAATAAAACAGTCTGAAAAAATTAGATCAGTACTCACTGCAGTGAGTGGCAGAGAGCGCATTTTCTCGTCCGTCAGTTAAGTAACGGACAAACAGACGGACATGATATATCGCATTTTTTCCATTAATGAGAAAATGCGCTGAAAAGATGTATGATGAACACACTCACTGTCAAGTTATTTTGTGCTTCAAGATAAGGCTGACCGTTCACTGTCCCATCTTATCAATAATACAACATTAATAGCAAACACTCAGGACATGTACGGAGCATTGTCCAAATCCCTATGCTCTTTTAGCATTTGTGTGGGTGATCCTGACACGGTTTGGTTCAGTAAACGGGAGTATCAGTGCTACGTCCGCTCTCTGCTCGTGCTATGAGAAAGAAAATGTGTCACTATTAGTACAATAAGATCCATTCATTACTTTTAGTGCAAGGCTCTTGACCGAACATCAGCACCTCTTATAACAAAGCTAAACCCCGAAACAATATTTCTTTTGCCTCATTTCTCAATTTTTTCCAACACTAGCGCTACTTTACGATTATCTATTGAGCTATAAATGTTTACCTCTCTATTGAAGCTCGGTTCCTGATGAATATTGAAACGTCTTCATCAAATGCAAATTCAATTAAGAGTCTGCGAACAGTCGTACAGTTTTTAGAATATCGTGGCTTTGCCACGGGCGTTAAAAACTCGAACGGCCGGCGAGGAGCGAACACTTTATTTATCGAATATAAAGTAATGAAGGGCTTGTGGGAACTTCAACATCCGTCTTTCCGTGCTTTTACTGTGTTTTTATGGAAGTATTTCTGAACGATCTTTTTGTTTCCAACGTCCAAGTTTCAAAGTTAGTTTACTTTTAGATCTCTTATTGGCTTTGCATCAATTACTGTGAGATAAACTATTTAATTGCAGCATATCAATGAACTGTTTATGTAATCCTAATGTTCTTATTACTAAAATGAGGAATTTATGAGCTTGTTTCTATAACAATAAATATATATATATTTGAAAATTACAGTGCACACATTATAGAATGGCAGTTACTCGAGACTCGCCACGTATTTATTTATCTTAATGGCCAGTGTATATTTACATATATGTATACATATGTATTTTTTATCTCGCTTCTGTAGTTTTTGTATATTTAACTCCAACAGCACAGGATGTTTCCCATTATATTATTAGAATAATAATTTTCATTATTATTGACATGTGAACCCACGTGTGACCCATTATTTTAACTATCATGTATTATCATTATTTTGTTAATAAATATATTTATTTATTATTTATTATCATTATGAGTGTTATTTTTATTTTTAAAACATTTATTTTTTATCGTTAAGATGAAATACTCTGACAAATTTTCGACCTGATGTTAAATGAACGACCTGAACTTGTCGCTCCGACGGTGTGTTTCCATACAGGCGAGGTGTGTTAAAGCTACCTCACTTGTGTAGAGATACGCCGTCTGTGTGACATTGTGTGATGCTGCTGCTGCTGCACCATCTCTCCTGCACCACAACTGCTGCACCATCTCTCCTGCACCACAACTGCTGCACCATCTCTCCTGCACCACAACTGCTGCACCAGACAATTTTCTATATACTTAGCAGAATAAAAACGATGTACATTGCCGATGACTTTGCCTAGCGTGCAGTACATTGTGTGTTTAACTTTATTTCAAAGGAAACTAACTCTTACTGAATATTCATGCAGTTTAAGTCATGCGGAATTTTCGACTCGTGGCCGCTGTGGCTGTAGTGAAGAACAGGATTTTAGACGGCGTCCGGTAAGAGTTTAGCCCTGCAAATATTGTCTTTAGATTTTCTCATCATTAGTGGAATTTTGCCGGGGTCGGGGAGCAAACTTCTCCTTCTTGTTCATTACCGAGAATTGTAAATATCTCTTGCCGAACCCGGGTCCGTTTTTCCCATTGAGGCCAAAGTAAATGTTGTTATGGGGGATACCGCCAGCACTTTTGATCCTTGGTCCCTCTTGCTCCTGTTGCTCCATCCTTTCTAAATATTTCTCTTAACTTGCTATCACTTAACTTAACTTGCTTAACTTGTCCCTATCATTTGCTACTCCTCATCATTTATATTTACTTCTCATTTTCCATTTTGTTTATTGTTTCTCATTTATGCTGTTCACTTGTTGTCATTCTTTACACCTATTAAAAACTCCGTTTGCTAACACAATAAAACTACGTTTGGTTATCTCGTAGCGTCGATTGCCCAATTCCAGCATTACGAAAGCACGTATGTATTTACCGTCAGTTGAATATATCAACACTGATATGGAATTTTATGAGAAACTGAACAAAATATACAGATTTCCCCACCTACTTTGTAAATTTAAACTAACGTCTTCAGTCTGGCAACAACTTTTTCCACGCATTTATTGTAACCGTTGATTTTGGCCAAGTTTTTGTATGAAAGCTGTAAGTCATTATGCATGTGTGTATTGAACTGAAGTAGACTGAATACGAAATCTTACTTAGTATGTATTCCGAATTCAAATTTTTTAAAATCTTTAATTTTATTATCAAATGAAGATCAGTTTTCTCTTCTGCTATTCCACAAACCTGTTACTTTTCAAGTTTTAATTTTTTTTTCAGAAAATCTCTGTTGAATATGTTCATGAGAGTATTTTGGTTTCCTTCATTCACTCTCTGCCTTACATAATGTTCAAAAATATACTTCATGACCTTCAGACTTTTTTCATTGAATTATATTCAAGTCCTTGATTATTTCTATTAATGGTAATAGTTGCTTCCTGTTTTTTTAATCAAAAATTTTTTTCATATTTCAAATAATCTATCCATATTGCGTGTTGCATTATCACTCTAGGTTTGCGTATAAGTTCAATGTTCACTTCAGCGTTATAAGGTTAACCTATGAGGCTTAAGGCGTTCTTGTCTATTTCTAAGTATATTGAAACTTTTTACAGAATTTTTCTCATCAAAAACTCTTTCCATATTTCAAATACTCACTACACATTGCGTGTTGCATCATCACTCCAGATTTACGTATGAGTTAAATGTTCATTTCAGTGTTATAAGGTTAACCAAGGAGGTTTAGGGCAAGTTTTTACCTGTTATTTTCTTATCAAACACTCTTTCCATATTTCCCATTCTCACTACACATTGCGTGTTGCATTATCACTCTAGGTTTACGTATGAGTTCAATGTTCATTTCAGTGTTATAAGGTTAACCAAGGAGGCCCAAGGCAAGTTTTTACCTGTTATTTTCTTATCAAAAACTCTTTCCATATTTCAAATTCTCAATAAATATTGCGTGTTGCGTGCGTATGAGTTCAATGTTCATTTCAGTGTTATAAAGTTAACCAAGGATTTTAAGGCAGGTTTTTAACTGTTATTTTCTTATCAAAAACTCTTCCCATATTTCAAATTCTCAATAAATATTGCGTGTTGCGTGCGTACGAGTTCAATGTTCATTTCAGTGTTATAAGGTTAACCAAGCAGGCTTAAGGCAAGTTTTTACCTGTTATTTTCTTATCAAAAACTCTTCCTATATTTCCCATTCTCAATACATATTGCGTGTTGCATCGTCACTCTAGGTTTGCGTTTGAGTTCAATGTTCATTTCAGTGTTATAAGGTTAACCAAGGAGTTTAAAGCATTCAGGCGCCCTCCACATCCCGTAGCATAAG